CAAAAATGTGGGTTGTATTTGTGAGGGCCCACCTCCACTGCTAAATACCGAATACTTGAAGCTTTTATAAAAGCAGAATATTTGGGAGTTGAAATTCTTTTCCCCTATTTGGTCTCCTCTATTTCTCTCTTCCTCTTATGGTTATTTCACTTTGGCTATGGTTGTGGCCATTATTCACAAGTTGGGGTTGGGGATATAAGTTTTGCCTTTATAGCTCTTGCCCAGTTATAGGCAAAACAATTTCCTTTGTTCCTTTAGCATATCTGAAGCATGTTAATTTTTTTCAAAAGGAAAAGAAAAATAGAAAGGAGCATAAAGGAAATTTGCTTAGTAGAAAAGAACATAAAGGAAATTAAGAAAATAAAAGAAGCAGAAGAATCAAATTTGCAAAGTACAAGCTTCTGATCCTTTGATAATTAACTTATTAAGTCACGTAATTTGTTTTGTTCATATCCTGTTTCCTAGGATGATTCCCACTCCAGAAGTTCAGTATAAATGTCACTTATGTTTTCTGGTTGTCTTCTAGTTTCAGACCTGTTTCTGCATGGCAGATACCGTTTTGTTCCTTGTTACATGAGAATGGCTCTAGATGTGGGGATGTCTTCCCTGGGTCCAGATAAATAGTTTATTTCTTATTTCTCACTAGCTAGGCCTAGGAATAGATGTCCAGATTAGGTTTGATTTTTGATTGGAGAGATACATCTCATTAGAGCTGAATGATAGTCTATCATAGGTGATACAGTGCATGGCCTCACACTTCATATGAGACTCTGCTTCCTGTAGAGCTGAGAGATTGCTGACAATATAAAAATTCATCAAATAGCCATTGCATATAGACAAAGCACAGTTCTCAAGAAGTACTAAGACCATTGTCTCACAGGTTTTTATATAAAATGTATAATTACTTAGTAATTAATTTTGGGTCATTTATCTGACATATGAAAGTTCCTTTTGTAACCATTTGTAAAATAGAATTGGTAATTATGAATAATCTGAAAAAATCCTGGTTAATTTGTACACAGTTAAAAAAATCAAATTGATTTTACTATCCTCGGTTGAAGTATTCAATATAAGTTCAAATTGCAGTTTGAAATGTCAGATCGTAGAGACTATAGTAATGGCTTGCAAAGAATGAAAATTTGAGGAGATCTTTTCTTTTCACATGATTTTATTATTTAATCTAACTTGTTAATTTTTTTTACAAAATCATTAGTCTACTCTTATAGATCCAAACTCTTTAAACATAAGAATTGTGATCTTATTAAAACAGTAATCAAGTAGCTAATTGACTATCTAATTTGACTCATTTTTTTAAAAAGACCTCTTTTGTGTATTTCTTAAAAGCTGAATAAAGCTGAATAAGATGCAAAGTAAAGATAGGCTCAGTTAATAGTGAATGTGAACAACTGACATGTACACGTCATGTGAAAAGGCCTGTTGGTAAATCAATAACAAAAAAACCTTATCTGATCAATCAAATGCCAACAACTGTTGGGTTGGCCAAAAAGTTTGGGTTTTTCCATAATAGCGTACAAAATCCCGAATGAACTTTTTGGCTAACCCAATGTTAATATGAATCATCTTTGCAATGATTGAACTGTGACTGTTTAGTGAAACTAGTATGATGGAATTTTATTTGAATTAACTGGCTATTATCCAGTTGATAAATTTCAGATTCTAGAGAATCCAGATATGTGACATGGAGAGCCATGGACAATTCCTCCCAGGACTCTTCTCTGCAATAAACAATGTTTAAAACTAATCTGAGCATAAAACCAAGCTGTTGCCAATAAAACTGTGTAAACATCTCTGGAAATGACCAAAATGTTATTCATGAAAATAATTAATCCTAAACAAGCTTGGAAGATTTGCTTTTCCCCTCCAATACGAGCATTTTTAGCTCATTTCTGAGGTATAAATTCTCCAGGGGCCTGTAAACATAAGCATACACTCTTTATTCTTGCTTCACAGCTTTGGAGATTCCTTTGTGTTTGATTCCTGTTTTAAAACTGAGTGTTGCATTCTCTTAGAGTGTTCAAAGTACAGTAAATTTTAGTTTGAGTTCAGCATTAAAACTGACAGCTCTAATTGTCATCCTTTCTTATTACCCTCTCTCATTAGACAGTTGTCTTCAGTCAAGAGCCTTAACTTTCTCAGGCTGAGTTTTAAAACTATTAATATTCATATTAATATGTAATATTTATCAAATAGGTATTAATTTTAAAGTGTTTCTTTTAATTATTTCATTTTTTCTCTACAATTTAATATAATATAAAAGGAGGCCAAAGTCTACAAAACTGGGAGAAATGTTTTAAGAAGTTTATTTCAGATGGTCCAGGGCCAGCAAGCTATGATCAGTCTTATCCTGGAACGTTAGCTATGAACAGAAAAATACTAGAGGCTAAAGAGCATCTTCAGTCTGTACATGCTATTTTGAATTATGCTTCTAAGGCCTTTTTTAAAATTAAAATAAAGTAGAAATGGTTTACTGTTTTATGTGATTAGTACATTTAAAAAACTTACCATAAAAATTAGTAGGTTTATTAGTATCCATATTGTAGTTTATAATTAAATGGATATTTGATGTTTATAAACTTTAGTTTTTAACCATGTTAATATTTGACTTCACTTCTGCTTTTGATAAATCTATAATATCTCTTCTAATGTCTGTGGTGAACAGAAAGTAAGGGAGATTTAAAAAACTGGCTGAGTGGTTTACCTCTCTATATAGAGGAAACTCCTGTGTAAGTACTGTTAATAATACCGTGAAATTTGAAACATGACTCCTGAAATAAATAAGCTCAAAATTTAGATGAGAGAGATAATGTAGATCATTACTAATGCAAGATGAAATGTGACAGGTGCTAAGTGAATGATCATGTGATTAAATGTCATAGGAATTTAAAGGAAGAAGATGTATTTCATAACAGCTTATGGAAAAACCTGAACGAACTTTTCGGCCAACTCAATGTTATGAGAGAGTCTAATTTGTAGGGGATTTATAGAGGAGGTTGGCCTTGAAGAATAGGGTTGGAATATGCATTCTAGGCATGGAGGACTACATGAGTGCAGATAGAGAAGTGGGATCTTATGGAGGACAATGAGATTATTTTGACTGGAGTGAAGAATTTGTGTAGGAGATTAGCAGGTGATATGTTTGGAAAGGTACATTGGTGTTATATAAAGAATAATCTTTACACCAAAAGCCTACCCCTTTGAAATAATTAATAAAATCTAGCAGATTTTGGTCATAGTTTATTTAGCATAGTTACCTCTCCTCTTTCCATAACAACTTCACATAGCTCATATTAATTAAATTTTAATCAGTTCTTTGTTTAGGAGGATATATTTTAGGGCTAAGTACTCAGTTGAATAATGTCAGTGTAATGACAATAAGGTTAAGGTTTATAAGTACACTTAAATATCAGCTCTTTCATGTGTGTGGACAAAGTAAATGTTCATTTACTCATGAAAGTGTTTGTCAGACATTTTTTGAGTAACTATGTGAACCAGACAATGCTAGGCACTGATAATACTTAGAAGATAAATCACTGCTCCCTGGGATCTATAACTTTAACAGGGAAGTAATGAATGGAATTCAGCACAAAACAGTTGATGAAATGCTATTTTAATAAACATTTAATAAAAATTTTTACTAGTAGCCCCAAGTAGATAGTTGTTGGAGGGAATTAGGGATATCACAAACTGGATGTTGAAGAAGCATTCACTAAGGTTGGGGCTACATTTTGGAAAGTCTTGACATCATGCAAATAAGTTTTGAAAGTAGTGAATGGAGGGGAGGCCATTCAATACTTTCCTGTTTTAATTTGGTAACCAGTCTCTTAAGTATCACTGAAACTACTTAATAGTTGTCTCTAACGATAAAAAAAGTGAAATTCTGCTGGTGATAGTATGTTTATGACACAGTTGTATATTGGGCATGTGTGCAGTCAACTCTAGCATTTATTTATTTATTTAAAACCTACAGAGGATCAATATATTCTTTTTTTTGATAGAAGTTGCAGACTCTATTTATTTTTATTTTTTAATGAATATGTGAGCTTCCCTTCATTTTTTCCTTGTTGGTTATCTATTTTAAATATATCTATTATAAATATATTCTTAATAAGTAATTTTTCATATTACTACATTATTTAAATGCCAGTATTTTATTTGATGTATTCTATACTGGTATTTCTAATATATGTTATTCCTTTCTGTTTTTACTTAAATTATAAAATGTTTTCCATTAAAGGAAATTTTGAAAAAAGGATAAGCACCTTAAAACTTCTGACTCTAACATTGATAATTCTGTTGATTTTTGCATAGTTCTTTTCAGTATCAAATCATATATGTATATGATTTTATACACTTACATATAATTTTACATAACTTACATAGCTATAGTAATAAATTCAATTTTATATTTTAAATTTCCATTTAGCATCATATCAGACATTTTCCTTGCTACATGGTCTGCAAAGTTAGGATATTTATGCAGGGCACCAGTAAGATGAAGGTAAGTCAGGAGCTGGAAAGGAATGAAGCCAGAAAATGTTACAGAAAATATAAAGTTTGTTTTTACCTGGCAGATACTATGATAGCATAGCACACATAAGCACTTTGAACTGCTGATTGCTGATGTGACTGTAGGAATGAATGCCTGTTTTTGGAATCACTCATGCTTGCTATACTAAGCAAGATAAATAACTGAGCCAGGTGAGAGATTCCTTATCTCTAAAAGTGGCTTTAACAGTAGTTTATATTATGGTTTATGTTACTATTTAATAGTAGTTTGGTTAAATCTTGGTTTATATTATGAGGTAAGACTTGAATTCACTCTTTTAAATTACTTTTACAGGCAAACATTTTTGGTTTATATTATAAAACTCATAAAGTCAATATTGAATAGTTGTCTTTTAGTAAATTTTAATATTTGTTTATTCATTCCTTTTCTTGTCTTTGAGTAAATAATATAATTTTTTTTTTTCTTTTTACAGAAAATGTCAAGGGCACTTACAGTTTCCAGAAGTGTTGATGTTCCTTTGATTCCTTCTTGTGGACGGTCATACGGTTATCGTATTAATGAGGATGGCAGTATCACAAAATATTTTCCACCTGCTATTGACAGTACACTAGGTCCAGCATACTATAAACCTCAATTTGTAAGTATGATACATTTCACACTGACAGTTGGAAGACTGTTTATGATTATGCATGTTCTAGTTAATGTAATACTAACTGCAGTAACAGATAGACCCCCGAATCTCAGTGGCTTAATGCAACAGAAATTCTTTTTTTCCTCATTCATATGGACATTTCTTGTTGATAAGAGATGTTCCTCCATGTAGAGATTCAGGGACACAGGCTTATTCCATTCATGTTACTGTCATCTCCAAAGGCCTTGGTGTCCTCTGTATCCAGCTGGCAGAAGGAGAAAGAGGACAGAGAACTGGTAGTGGGGGTTTTTTGTAGGCTAGGCCTGGGAGTTAAATTTCAGGCACATGGACACACTTAACTGCCAAGGAGCCTGGGAAATACAGTCTAACTGTATCCAGGAAAAAGAGGAAATAGTTTAATAGTTTAAGCTTAGGCTTAAGCACCTTATGAAACCATTTGGTTTTTGGCAATAGGTATACTGGGGTATTTTGGAGTCTTAGATACTTTGAATTGTTTTTATTCCTAAAATATTTTTATTATAATTAATATAATTGCACATAGACCTGAACAAACATAAAAACAGATAATCATGTACCCACCATCTCATATAACACATATTAAAATTTTATTACACTCGAATTAGCTATATTTTAAAATAAATATATTATTACAATTATTACCCTACCCAATTTCCCTCCCTCCATTCTTTTCCCTTTGCCAAAGTAAACAGTAAATCTTAACTACATATAAATAACAATATGTATTGTTGTATGATTTAAAACATTTAAGTAAATGTTATCATCTGGCATGCAGGTTGCTTGCTATTTCACTTAATGTTATATTTTCTAGATTTAGCTATATCAATATACTAGATCTAATCCATTCATTTTTTCCAATTAGTGAGTTTCTTTTTAAAAAAAATAATTTTAAATTTTGAAATAATTTCAGATTGATAGAAAAGTTACAAGAATAATACAAATAATTCCCACATACCTTTCACTTAGATCCTGCAGTTAACAGTTTATCACATTTGCTTTATTATTTACCCTCTATATTTATATTCTTATTTTAATTAAGCAATTTCAGAGTACATTTAAGACATGATGCCTTTACTCCTAAATACTTTTAATGTAAAATTTCTAAGAACAAGAATTCTCTTTTATAACCACAATGTAATTATCAAAATCAGAAAAATTTCATTCATATAATCCTATTATCTGATCTGTAGATATTTAAAAAATATTACTAATTATCTCAATGATAGTCTTTAGAAAATGACCAAGAGTCCCATCTGGTATTACAAGTTGCGTTTAGTTGTCGTGTCTCTTCAGAGTCCTGTCATTGGGAACAGTTCTTCAGTCTTGCTTTGTCTTTTGTAACCTTGACTTTTTGAAGAGTACAGGCTGTTTATTTTGTAGAATATGTCTCAGTTTTGGATTCGTGTATATTTTATCATGATTAGGATGAGTTTATATATTTTAGCAGGAATGCTACATAAGTGAAGCATCCTACTCAGTGTATCACATAAAAAGGCGCAGGATGTTTACTTATCCCGTAGTTAGTGATGTTAACTTGAGGGGGTGTCTTTTGGTTTTATCTACTGTAAAGTTACTAGTTTTAAAAATTTATAAATATTTTGGAGAGGTTACTTTAAGAATGAGTAGATATCCTATTCCTTATCAAACTCTCACCTATTAGTTTAACATCCATTGATGATGCCTGAATCAATTTTACTGTGATGTTTATCAAATGGTGGTTTTCTAATGTTATATTTTCTTTAACATATTTTTTGTTGGCACTTTACTTACTATAAAGAACAGCTTTATATTCTTTTCCATTTATGTATTTATATCAGTATGGGTTCATGAATTCCTGTTTTACTGAAAAGGTTGTAATTCACTACTCTCACTATTTATTTTGAGGTTAAAATGATCTAATATTTGACCCTTGGGAGCCCTTTCAGTCTGCTTGTTGTGTCTTTTTGACATATCTCCATCATTCTTTGAGCATTTCTTTATTTTATGGCACAATAAAATGTTGCAGGTTCATCTTATTTTTTCCGTTGCCAGAATCATTGGAATCAATCATTTCCTCAAGGAGCTCTACTTTCATTTACTGGAGAATGATTTTTCAAAACAAGATCAGTACACTAGGTACATTTGGGGTATCATTCCTTCTAGGCCATCTCAATGGACAAAGTTAGAAATCTATACTTTTTCTTATCTGTCTATTAAAAACTTTGAGCTTATATTGATATCTCTAATTCCAGTTCAGTGCCACATGTTTATTCTTGTATTTCCTTTTCTGTGTTTGATCTCCCTTCTCCCACAGTGAGAAACCTGGTTCCCACTATACTCAGTATATTTACTTACTTGCTTAATCTTGTAAAACACTGAACGTAGTTTCAGAATTGCTAACCCATCACTTCAAAAACCAGACTTGAGAAGGTACAAAGCTCTTAACTCTATGTGACCTTCGGGAAGTGAAAGCTAAGACAGACTTGTAAACTGCCTGCTTGAGTGTTGAAGGTGTGTCTCAACACATGCACAGTGCACCTCTGCAAAGGTTGAAGACCTACTCGTTCAAAGCATTAAGAAAACCTCTGTCCAACGATTACCTGACCAGTCAGCTAGCCAGACTGAGACTTTAGTGGACACACATGACAGAGAATACAGAATTTAGAGAATTAGTCCAGAAATCACTAAACAGAAAAACCCACAATAAACCTTTGGGTCAGGAGGGAGATTCTGATTTTTAGAGTTGCCACATTATATTACCTAAGATGTCCGGTTTTCAACAAAAAATTATGAGACATGCAAAAACAACAACAACAGAAATATGGCCCATACATAGGAAAAGAAGCAATCATTAGAAACTGTTCTTGAGGAAGCCAGGATGTTGGACTTATTAGACAAAGTCTTTAGATCAACTATTTTAAATATATTCAAGTAAATAAAGGAAGGTATGTCTAAATAATTAAAGGGGAATATAAAAACAATGTCTCACCGAACAGTATCAATAAAGATAGAAATTATAAAAAAACAACTACGTAGAAATTCTGGAGTTGAGAAGTACAATCATGGAAATGAAAAATTCTCTAGAGGGATTCACTAGTGGATTAAACTGGCAAAAGAAAGAATTAGCAAACTTGAAGACGAGTCAATTGATATGCAACCTGATGAACAGGAAAAGAAAAGTATGAAGAAAAATAAACATAACATCTGAGACTTTGGGGACACCATCAAGCATACCAACGTATGCATAATGAGGGTCAAAGAAGGAGAGAAGAAAAAGGGGGCAGAGAGAATAGTTGAAGAAATAATAACTTGAAAACATCCCAAACTTGATGAAAAACAGTCTACACATACAAGAAGCTCATTGGATTGCAAACAGGATAAATTCAGAGAGATGCACACCTAGATATATCACAATCAAACTGTTGAAGCCAAAGACATTGAGAAGTCTTGAAAGCAGCAAGAAAAGTGACAAGAAATCCCCAAGAAGATTAACAGCTGACTTATCAGAAACCATGGAGGCTGGAAGGCAGTGAGGTGATATATTCAAAGTACTGAAATAAAAAAGATTGCTAATCGAGAATTCTATAACCAGCAAAACTATTCTTTGAAAATGAAGACAAAATTAAGACATTCCCAGATAAACAGAAACTGATAGATTTTGTCTGTAGTACACCCTCTAAAAGAAATACTGGAGTTCCTTAGGATGAAATGAAAAGTTCATTAGAGAATAACTCACATTCTGTTTAAAGAATTAAAGTACAAAGGTAAAGGTAAATAGACAGGCTGGTATTTTACTTTTAGTTTGTAACTCCTCTTTTAAATTTCTATTGATTATAGAACACACTAGAGATAATACATTTTATCTTCAAATACAGGTATTTGAAGACCTGATAGACTGCTCCATACTATAAAACTTACGAATAACCAACTTACCTCTGATAAAATGGAGAGTAAAGATATTGTAAGTTATAGATATGTCTCCTGTTCACACCCTTAGAATTCCCATTTCTTTCTGGCTATAGGGTCTTTTATCCCAGGAGTATTTTGCTCTCCCTGTCAATGCCGTGCCTGGTTTTTCAGGCCTTGACTATCCTATCATCCTGTTAATATAAAAATAATTAGTTTTCATCCACAGACAGTGCCAGTATCTTAGGTATTTGAGTAAGATATGCTCAGAAGAACAATGGAGATAACTCTGTAAAAATTACATTGAAGTTAATGGAAGTCCTGTGGTCTAATATCAGTGTATTCTGTCCAAGGTAAAGGACAATTACAAAAGGTAGTGTAATGGAACTGGACTGCTTGTGTTTATTTCTTGGCTTCACTACTTAATAGTTATTTGTCTTTGGCCAAGTTACTTAAGGTCTTTGTGCTAAGTTTTCTGATCTAAAATATCCTGGGAAAAACTTTGGTTTTATATATTGGACTAGTATTTCTTTTTCACAGTAGTCATTGATCCTTGGTTTCAGCTTAAACAGCTCTCTGTTATTCTTAACTTAAATCCCAAAATGTTATTCTTGCTTTAAAATTATATTTTTTGTATATGCTATTTCTTTGTTTCAGAATAATGTATCATCCTTTAAAAGGCCAGAATAATGCCTCCAAGCTAGATGTGCAAAACTTTTTTCATGTATGAATAAACATTACTTTAACATATAAAATTTGATTTCTTTCTGGCTACATTATTATTCATAGAAGAGAGAAATAACAATAAGAAAATTTATTCTACAATTTTAATAGGTCCAATTTGATGGCCTATTTTAGTAATTACTGATTCGATCCAATTTGTATTTATTAGAATAAAAATCTAGATCAAATTTAAGAGAACATGTTTGTAAAAACATAGTTTTACGTATAAATTAAAGACGTAGTGGTTAATATTCAAGAAGATTCAACAAAGCTTAATTTGAATTGTGATATTTTCTGAAACCTCCATCTTGAATTTGAGAGAAAGACTAGAGGTAGGGTAGCAAAGATCAGTAGCTGAA